AAAATTTTCTTGGCTTTCTAGCTATGCGACAAGAGCCATTACAAGTTCATCCAAGCTAATTGTTAACATTCCTAAGGAAATGATGTTGCTAGTCTGAGTGAAATTGATGATTATCTGTTCAGAACACATTATACAATACATCATTTGATAGATAAAACCTTGACTTTCTATTGGTTATAGGTAATATATAATGAAACGTAAGAGAGAACTATCAAAAAATTGTGAAAGAGAGGATGTGACAAGTGGGTGTGGCAGGAGGGGTCTGATTTTCTATTTGATAACTCTGTAACCAAACCAAATTATGGTTTATTTTAGCAATAACAAGTTTATGGAGAGTATTTTTCGTTTAATTTCATACATTTTTGAGGGGTGATGGATAAAATAGGGATGTCACGTGGGTCACACTAGTGGAAATTCAGGATTTTTTTATATACTTCCTTGTAGAATTAAGAACTTAAAACTTGTATACTATTAAAATATGGATTATTAGCTAATATTTTATGCTAATTGGTATAACATAAACAAAAACTAGTTTAATAAAATTTTGAATATAAAACACTAAAACCTTATGTCAAGTGCAGGGGAGACAGGGTTAAACAGTACATCTTCTGATGCCCACTTCAAACTTTTGGTTTAGTTACCTTTTCTCAGCAGCAGTTTTCAAGCAAGACATATTCACTAGGACCACATTAAGCTAAAGTCTATCTTATTGTTCTCAAAGTAACATTCACATCTGTATTTACAGCAAGGTTGCTTGCAAAATCTATATCCTCGACCATCATTTAACTTGTAAAGAACATACACAGAGATGCTTAACATCACTTTTAAATAGTTTTGGTTTTCTACCTCAACTAATTCTATTACTAACAGTGCCAGTTTCAAGTTACCTCTTCACAGTCTTGCATACATCTTCTACTGAAACATGGAGTCTTGTAACAATGTTTCACATGAAGCATCCTTAATCAGCCAGAACTTTGATTACTACATGCTTGTCATACTGTAACTCAGTACTGGGAGACATGAGAAGATTCATACTACTACTACTACTTGACACAGTATGACTACCTGTACTTTTATACACTAATGTGGCACTTCCTGATTGATTGGAAGACAACTAATCACAGTGTAAACTATCAACACATGACTGTATTCTGGTGCAGTTCATTTTCACATGGTGAAAGGATGACATTCCCACAGTATTTGTCTTTTGCAACCTTTTTCTTTACCACTTCCATAATTATTCCCAAAACGTATTACTTTCACTCCAATTACAAATAAACAAAGATAAGTGTAAGACTAACCCTTTTCATGGTATCATCTAGTGAAGGAAGAGGCAGGCAGGGAAGAGAGTACTGGTAACTGTACAACAGTGGTTTCTTCCCTTCCAAGAGCTTCACAAACAGCTGTAACAAAGATTACATTAAATGAATCAACATAAATATTTTTACAATCCTAAAAGTTTCAACCATTTTGTTGAATATTTTTCTAAACTAATATGTTTCCATAATAATCCTGAATATTTTATTTATACATGATAGAGATACAACAATTTTTAAAAGCTTTTGTAAAGATATGTTAACTTTTACAAAAAAGTTAGGCTGGCTAGTATGTTACAGAACATCTTTAGAAACTACACATAACACAAATGATTTAAATTATTAAATAGTGCCACCAATGAAACACAAAATATATATTTTTAAGCAAACTTAATACAAAATAAATTGTCCCCATTTGAAAGTTTTAAAGAATTTTAAATTCTTTCCCTGTGCATAAAATACATATCTACTGTTTTGAAAAAACACTTTTCTATTTTTCAAAGGGTTATAAATTTCTAATAATGCATTAAAATGATAAATAATTAAAAGAAAACCATAAGTTGGCATGAACCATGATGGCATACAAATTTCACAGTATCCTAACTGAACACTCATATTAATTAATTCAAATATTAAATTAATCATCATTTTTGACTGCTACAACATACCAGCCATGTCCTAGACTTGAAGGACATTCCTGTTCCTCCCCTTAACTCATAAATCCAGCCTTTGTACATGAACAGTATCTTGAGGGCATATCGTAACAGCAGGATCAAACCAATCCACACAAATACGCTGTACAGTCCACAAGTGAGAAGATAAGCAACTAATGGAGCTAAACGCTCACTGAAAACAGAGTATAATTATAGACCTTAAAAATTATTACAAGCTGTTATGGTTAAACTTATGATATATTGGTAAATGTCTGCATATTAGAAAGCATTTTTAAAGAAGCCATAGTAATATATAAATATTTCTAGCTGAGCTAAACATTTACAAATGTGGGAGTAAATATGAAGGGTAAAGAGAAAACTTACAGTTAAAAAACTTTCTTGTTTGTTTGTTGAATTTCATGCAAAGCTACTCTAGCCATCCCTAATTTTGAAGTGATACACTACAGAGAAGGCAATTAGTTAACACCCACCCCCACCAATTCTTGAGCTACTCTTTACTAACAAATAGTTGGATTAAATTACATTTTTAATGTCCCCATGGCTGAAAATGTGAGCATGTCTGGTGATGTGTTTTGATTTCAGAACTAAACAATGCAAAAACAAAATAAAACACAGTATAATAAAGAATATAATACAACATACAAAAGTAAACTGTTTAAGTGATGTCTCAATAAATTATTCTTCAAGCAAGAGCAATAAAAATGTCAAGTTAGGTTATTAAAAGTTATTTTTATTGTGCCATTAGTTTCACAATCAGTAAAATCACTGTCACTGCTAATATCAGTTGATGGCACTTACAGTACTTCAATAACTTGTTTATTTAAAGAAGTAACTTGTTTAGTTAAAGAACCACACTGTTTAATGAACTGTTAGAGTAACTTCTAAAAAGTTTAGTAATGTGAAGATTTCCAATGGTAGTTACACTTGGTTTTACTGTTCAGTATTTTGATAAGAATTAGGTTGCAAATCTGTTGTTTATACATTGGTTTTAAAAAGAGGTAACTGCAGTTACACCCTTGAAGTTAACATTTCAAACAAATGCAGAGATTTTACAGAAAGTGATATTTAGAAGAATAAATTAAATTCCCAAAATATTTTCTAAATAATCAATACGAGTCCAAATCATAAAAATATCAATAAACATAACCCAAAATGTAAAGCATCCCATAATATAACTCTCACACAGTCCTTCTTGAAGCACCAGAGATATTGCCAGACTGAGATATCATCTGATGCTGAAAAACAATTATTCAATCTTTAGCTACTGCTTCGTTGTTATTAATGGTAACTGTGAGAAAGAAAGTAGTTCTGTATAGAATTCAGGTGAATAAATGAGATAAGAAGCATGGACATGTTTCCACTGCCAACACAGATAAGCATATAAATCAGCAGGATTCTGCTGGAATAATTCCCTTAACGCTTTCGAGACGGGTCATGGGTGAAAGGCCATGTCATCTCATTTGTTAAGTCGCATTCAAAATTTTATTGAACCACTATTTCATGAATTTATGTCAATAAGTTCGGTATCAAACTGTAGATTATAATTCAAGTTTTAGTACTATATATTACTCAATTTCTTACTTTAAAAGCAAATATTAAAAAAACACAGATAAACATCAATTTTTGTGTGTCACGTGGTATGTTGAATACAGCACTGGTTCTAATTAGATGTTTGTGAAGTCAAAACACTAAATCTACAGTTTCAAACAAATTAGAAACTCAAATTACTGATATTGACAAGCTATAATATAAAATAAGAGCCTCTTATCCATTTGTTAAAATATTGCTCATGTAATAAAGCAAACACAGTGGCACCCGCCCACCTCTTTCCATTTTTAGAAATGCACCCTTACATACACTTACTTCTATATATGACATGAATAACCAATCAGAAGCTCAGAATGTCCCCCTAGTGGTTTTCTCAGTCTTTGTAATGCATCTAGCACCATTTCTTTCTTTTGAATCAAGATTT